ATTTCATACTTATATCAAATAATGGTCGTGCTTAATTTCTAATTTCTTACTAATTATGTTTTTTTTTTTAAATCCTATTAATCTGCCAAAAAATGTCAATGAAAAAGACAGGTATTAAGTCATATAATGTGAAAACTCACAACAATCAATCAAAGTAGTTGTTGGAAACTTGAGTGGAAAAATAGTGTTTTTTTATTTGACCATTACATTAATCCTAGGCATATTGAAAAGCAACTTTTCCATTGGTTAGAGTACACGTTAGGGTAGATGATTTATTCCTACAATTTTTAAAGTCATCCTTTCATTGACTAAGACTATGCATTCAAAAGGTTAATAATCATTTTTTTTTAATCATAATGGAAAAACCATTAGGACCACTTTTGATCTTTATCGATTTACGATCAATTCAAAAACTAGGTTGATTCAAGATCGATTCAAAGAAATCAAGGGCCTCTTTTAAGCGAATAACTCAAGACGGATTCTAATTTATTAAAGAGAAGTTTCAATAATTTAGATCTTATTGATTAATAACTTTAATCTAATTGAATTATTTCTTGATATTTTTAAGTCATAATTTTTTTTTAATACCATACGAATAATAATTCTTCGATATCATAAATACCAATTTAAAGATTCTTTAAAATATGTATAAATGGATCAGATACGAAAAGTCGAGTCGATTTTATAAATTATTAAATTAAAATTAATTTAAAAATAAATTTTGGTAGGATATTGAAAACTGTAGCATTGCGTGATCCATATATTAATAAAAGCTGACAATGATGACTTGTCTGAAATTTTGGGAGACCTAAACGTGTAATCACCATGATAACCAGTGCAAGAATTTTGTGACATGCCAACGAAAATCTGAACTATAACATCTTATGAGTGAAAGTCAATGTATTTTATAGCCTCCAAGAACGACTAAGGCACACAGTCAAACAAACTACACTAAGGAACTTTTTGGCTCCTTCAAGTGTTTGGTAAAATCTGACTGCTACTTCCACAGCTAAACAATGCACTAGTGTTTATACTAGCTAGCAAGAGATTGAAAATCTTTGAATACCATCAAAAAAAAAAACGAAAGAGTTTTGTTCAACCATTTGTAAGTCTGTTTCTTTGTTTCTCTACTCTACTAGCCTATTCCCTCTTTCACCTCCTGTCGAGAGCCCGCACTTTGGCTTTCACTACATCTTTCTGAATCAGGCACTCACTCTCTCTCTATGTGATTAATAATATTTTTGGTCGTTAAAATATATATTTTTTTATCAATTTAGTTCTCATTGTATCAATTTTATCAGTTTGATCCTTAAAATATTCAATCCGTATCGCTTTGGTCTCTAATCAGCCAATCCTTTATTTGTTTTAACGAAAGTGACAATATCACGTGATCATTTTATCAAAAACTTATAATCCGTTTATGTAAGGAACAAAATGACACGAATTAAATACTTTACGGATTAAATTGATAAAATGATATAATGAAGACTAAACTAATAAAAAAAATGCATAGTTTAAGAATTAAAAGTGTTATTAAATTTATTTTTATTTTTTGAGTTGGGGTAAGTAAATAGACATGGATACAAAGAAGGAGGACAACTCGGGAAGTAAAAAAACAAACTGTACTCTACTATTCTTTCAAAATTTGTAGGAGTAGTCGAATTCAAGAAATTCTAATACACAAATTTTTGAAGGTTTTTTGGTGAGATATTTATTAAATTAGGATTGATTGTTATGTTTAATATTTTTATTTGGATTAATAACATGTTTGATCATTAAATTATTAATTTTATCAATTTAGTTGCTAAAGTATTCAATTGGTGTCAAAATGGTCCCTACATAGACATATTGTTAAGTTTTTTTTTACGGAATGATCACGTTCTGAGCATGTGATACACTCTGAAAGAGTGATACGTGGTCACTTTTGTTAAAAAATTTAACAAAATTATTTGATTAGAGATCAAAATAAAATAAGTTGAATACTTTAGTGACTAAATTGATAAAATTAATAATTTAAGGAACAGACTAACAAAAATGTAAAGTGCGAAGCCGAATTAATTTCAACCCGAGTACAGTTTCAACAATCACAAGCTTCCATTTAATCAGAATTGAGCAAATAATTAAGCTTAATAGTGGTATTTGAACTCAAAAAATAATAAATTATACCTAAAAATGAGTGTGAACCATCATAAAATAGTAAAATTTACCCCCAAAAAAATATATAAATGGTACAATATCAAAATTTTATTTTACCCTCCTATCCTATGTAGGACTAAATTTGCATGAACTTGTAAGTGATTTGCTTTTCCTGATAATAAATGAAAAACAAACTTTGGTATCTAATGAATCTGAGCCATACCCATTATGGGACCTCACTTTTTGGTACAGCAGCCTTCCCAACTAGAAACTGTCAATGATCTCAATTAATGGGAAGTACCCATAATTGAGAATACAACTTGATCAAACTTTCAAAATAGACAATTCGTCAAGGTACATGTTTAAAAAAAAAACATAGATTAGTTGATAATTTTAAGTATTTAGAGTTTATTCTACGGGGATAAGTTCAATGCAATCTTGTCTAAAAAAAATTTCTTCTTACACAAAAAAAAAAAAAAATCTTGATAAGATGAACATTTTCAATGGATGGACAGTCTACTTGACCTTCTTAAGGACTTCTTGATTATACACAAAATTAACTAAAAATTAATCAGTTTGTGCTTAATTATAATAGATTTTTGTAGATCTATTTGATTTGTTATACAAATAGATCAACCGATATTGTGATAAAACAAAATACGATCGTACTAAACATAAATTAGACACAACACAGACTTTGACATAATACAATAACAAATACATGGGGGGGGGCTGTTTATTTGAGGTATAAGATTTAGGTGGTATAAGATTTTATATCAATTCCACTCCGTTCCAATAGTATATTATACTCGGTCTTAAACTATAATTCTATCATTCCTCTTGTTTGTTTTTCACAAATAATATCTACTTAAAAAAGTCAAAAATTGCAACTGGCTTTTATATGGGCCATTTTACATGAGGCATTTGGGTCTTTTTACCATATTATACCTCCACGAAATTTATACCAAAATATTATACCACCGGATAGCTGGTATTAAATAGCACCGTGTAGAAGGTATTAGTGTTACTGTTCACACCGGATCAGCACTATGACCTAAAATTTAGTACCTAATAAAAAATATCAAACAAACAAAGTATAAGGTAAGTCTCACGTACTATTTTTCATATACTTTCCATATCCCTCAAACAAACAGTCCAGGGATTATTTTATTTTTTTGGGTCCTCATTGGATACTTTATATATATATATATATATATATATATATATATATATATATATATAAAGAGAGAGAGAGAGAGTTAGGTGGAGAACAGATCAAAGCAATGAAGAAGAAAATACAAGGTGGGGCAGGTCGATGATTGATCAGGTGTAGTGAATGAAAAGTTGGGTAGATATGGTAACAGGTATTTCAAAGGATTGATTTTAATTTTTTTTTATATATAAAACTTTTCAACCACCATAAATTTGATGTATTTAACAAAAAAATGTAATAAAGACATGACAGACTTCGATACAACTCGTCCTAATCATATTCAATTCAATACTTTTCGTGTTATTATGGATGCATATTTTGGGCATTTAATCACGAACCTATCTCGATTCATTATTGATTCGGAAATATTTTGGATGATTCGGGTGGTAATTATATTTTAGTATTCTCTAGGATAAAAAGGTTGAAATTATAGACTGCTTACGTTGGGTCAAACAAATCCAGCGTTGGATATGATACATATGAATGATATACATGGAAACGGTCTCCTTGGACATCGGTATGGGATATGAAATTTCTCTTCGATGTAAAATATATAAATATTTTATGTATAATATACATAAAATATTGGAAGAATTACAGACTTTATGAATTTTGTTACTTCATCACTCAGAATCCTTGATATTTAAAATATTATACACAGATCCCTGAAATTTGTAACCGCATAACACTTAGACCTTTATTGTAAATATATTTGTTAATAAATTACACTTAGACCTCCTAAAGTTTATAGTTATATAATATTTATACCTTTTAAGTTTAAAATATTATACTTAGGTTAAAAATATTTTAATCAAACATAAAATATAAAATATTTTAAATTTTACAATCAAAATTCATGTTCTATTATATTATTTTTTTTAAAATAAATTTAAAAAAATTATAATTAGTATATAATTATATTGTCTATTAGAATTTATTTTAGTAATTTAAACGACCAAATTAAAATACTAAACTACCCCAATTAAATCTAAAAGATTTTATGTCTATTACAGTTTGATTCTTTATTTAATTTTTTAGTTTTTTTATAATAGACAGTATAAATATATACTAACTATGTTTTTTTAAAAAAAATAAATTTTTATTTTTGATTTTATTTTAATAAATGACATAATAGAACATAAATTTTGGATGTAAAATTCATGTTTTATTATGAATGACTTGGACTCATTATTTGATTTTTTTAGTTTTATTCTAATAAATAATATAATTGTATATTAATTATTAGAATTTTTTAAGAAAAATTAAATTTTTATTTTAAATTTTATTTCAATAAACGATACAATAGAACATGAATTTTGGTCGTAAAATTTAAAATATTTTATATTTATATTTAATTGGAGCATTTTTTGTCCAAGTATACTATTTTACACTTAAAAGGTCTAAATATTATATGCCCATAAACTTTAAGGGAGTCTAAGTATAATTTATTAACGGATATATTTACGACAAAGGTCTAAATGTTATGTGTATATAAATTTTAATAGTTTGTGTATAATATTTTAAATGTGAGGGAGTATGAGTAATTAAGTGAAAAACGTCGCAGAGTTTGGACGCAATTATCTTAAAATATTTATATGCGCTCTCTGGTGGAGATTGAAATGTCTATATAGTATGGTATTGGCTTTGTGCCCCCAACCAGAGCCCTCTTCTTCTACACTGCTTCTCAACTCTCTCTCTCTCTCTCTCTCTCTCTCTCTCTCTCTCTCTCTCTCTCTTTATGGGTGCGACTGAAAGTTTCTTGTGAATAACGAAGTATCACTCAAACTCGTGGTTCACCGGGAGACGCTTCGGACAACTCGACGGCGTTGTGTAAGTCGTTGTTTCGCAACGCCTTGATACTCTTTTCACGACGATATTGAGATGTGGACTGAAATTCTTATCATGTCTTTTCTCGTCTTTTATCTAGCATTTTGTGTGTATGAAGGACATAGTTCCGGTGATTCGACAGGAACGATATGTCTCAAGGTCCTTCAACCATGAATCCAAATCCTTGTTTGTTATACCTGTTGACAAAAGATCTTCAAATTTTTCATCAGACATAGAATTTGTAGTTGCCTTGACAATTCTTTAGAACAGACTATTGGACATTTCCTACCCAACTCTCCATAAATATTCATCATCATTAAAAAAAAACACTTAGAATCTGTATTAGACAGTTTTAATGTTTAATAATCTTATGTTTTACATGTTTTACAAGAGTTAGTGTTATAATCTTCTGCTGATTTATGTGGTTAAATTAACTGCAGAGGGCTTAATTAGCTGATTTGAAGAACAGAATGTGGAAGCTTAAGATTGCTGAAGGCAAAGGACCATATTTGTATAGCACCAACAACTTTGTTGGCAGACAAATTTGGGAGTATGATCCTGAAGCCGGGACGCCGGAGGAGAGAGCAGAAGTCGAAAAAGCCCGGGAAACCTTCCTAAAAAATAAAAAACAAGGAATTCACCCTTGTGGTGATCTGCTCATGCGAATGCAGGTGCATAAAAAACTTTACCCACCATATCAAGAAGAAAAATTGTTAGAAAAAGACTACCGAAACTTGTAAAGGATGAGTTACAACATTTTATGATCGGTTATTACTCTTTGGATTGTAATTTAAAGCCTCTAAACTTTAAAAAATAATTGTCCCCTTAAAATAACTATTATAGAAGAGCTATGTTATGAAAATTTTAGGTTCTAAAACCACTTGTTTATCTAATTGTTTGTATATTTTTGATGTTGAATTTGCAGATGAAAAAGGAAAATGGAATCGATTTACTAAGCATACCACCAGTGAGGTTAGGAGAAAAAGAAGAAGTCACTTACGAAGCCGTCACAACCACTGTGAGAAAAGCTGTTCGATTACTCCGGGCACTACAAGCAAAAGATGGTCATTGGCCAGCTGAAAATGCAGGAGTAAACTTTTTTTCACCTCCTCTGGTAAGTGTTCTCTCAAACAAAGTGTACATGAAGTATAACAAAGAATCTCAATAATAACTCAACTAGTAACATATACGAGTTATAAATTTAAATGTCTTGAGTTCGAATCTTTGACAATTTTTTGAGGTCAATTCATCTGAAATTTATTCCTCGTAAATATATTTATCCCGACATAGATGACCTGTCTTTGATCAAATCGAAAAGAGAATTAATCAATATACACTTATGTTGACCCGAACATCTACTCACCGTTGAACCAAAAAAAAAATCTTAGACAAAGAAAAGAAAGCATTGTCATCACCGTCAGCTTAGAATGAAAGAGTAATGTTAGATGAGTCTAATTTGACATAATTTATTGGCATAATTTATTGACGTAATTTATCGTAGTAGTTGGATTTGCAATAAATCTCAATGTTTTATAGGTCCACTTTTAATCACACCGTTGTAGTCAATAGGTCAATAAATTTTAATTCAATAAATAAGGTCTGCTTATTTCTAATGAAAAGAAAAATACGGAAAAAGTAAAACAATAATACTACACCATAACCCCCTTCAACTTGTACTCGGTTCTACGTTCTCCCCTAACTATTGTATTTCTCACATTGCCTCTTCAATATTTAAATTAGTTTCACATTACCCCAAAATTAAAATGTCAGTCATGTCTTGGAAAAAAATGTTCTTATCTGTACTAAAACACAAGTTTCTAATGTCTAAAATTGGGAAAGCTTGAAACCAATAGGCATAATTGAATGTGTCATGTAAGAAATGGGCAACATGAGATAGGTAGCATAATTGAGAGAGTCAAAGTGTAATTTTTCCAAAACTATAATTGAAAATTGCCGATGAAGTTGAAAATGGGAGAAGTAGAGTTGAATTTTGAGCTCAAAAAGTCAAAGTTTTCAGAAAATAAAGAATTTCATCGGACCAAAGCCCAATTGGTTCGCAATGTATAACTTTTTACTAATGATATTTTCCGTCACAAGATATAGAAATGTTAATCTTATGGGTCTCTCTCTCCTTGTATTCGTAGATCTGACGGTTAGAAATGTTACAATATGCAGATGATTTCTCTGTACATCAGTGGAGCAATTAACACTGTTCTTACACCACACCACAAGAAGGAGTTGGTTCGTTGGCTTTACAACCATCAAGTAAATAACAAATACCTCATTATTTTTTTTTCTTTTTTTCATCATGGTAGTTATAAAAATTTTGTAATCAAATATCTAATTAGAGAAATTTCATAGAACGACGATGGCGGATGGGGATTTTATATCGAGGGTCACAGCACCATGATTGGCTCAGCCCTTAGCTACGTCATGTTACGTATTCTTGGAGAAGGACCCGATGATGGCGATGGTGCAATTGCCCGAGGCCGGAAATGGATCCTTGATCATGGAGGTGCCACAGGAATACCCTCATGGGGAAAGACTTACCTTGCGGTAAAAATAACTAGTTAACATTCTTTGCAATAACTTATATATTGGATGCACTTTTACTTTAATTATATTTTCCCCCCCTAAACTTTGGCTTTCATCTCACTTTGCCTTTTAACTATTGAATTTCTTACATTGCTCTAAAAGCCCGAGAGACTAGACCCCAACACAATTGCCTCTCTCAGAACATGTAAAATCTTCATTGTGCAGGTTCTTGGAGTGTATGAGTGGGATGGCTGCAACCCATTGACACCAGAATTCTGGCTTTTCCCTTCGTTTTTACCATATCATCCAGGTACAATATAATTTTTTTTCTTTTTTTTCTCGAAGATTTATTGGCTTATATGAACTAAATTGACTTACATATATTGCTATTTCGAGAAATTGTGTAACATATATACAGCAATTTTATAGATAAATAGAAGTTTTGATACCTATGAAGAAATATGTAGGAGCTCAATGAACAAGCTTCAGTTTCTGTTTTACATGTCCATCTCTGTAAGTTGTGAAGTTCAATTGTGTGGCCTTACGACTCTCTCTCTCTCTCTCTCTCCCTCAGCAAAAATGTGGTGTTACTGTCGCACCACCTACATGCCCATGTCATATTTGTACGGAAGGAAGTACCACGGGCCACTCACCGATCTCGTTTTACAACTAAGACAAGAAATTCACCCCAAGCCCTACCACGAAATAAATTGGAACAAAGCGCGCCATGACTGCTGCAAGGTTAGTAAAATCTCCGAGAGTCTGTCAAGGAAGATTTAATCAAAAACTAATCCAAACATAACTACTATAATGCTTGAAGTTTCTTCAAAAAATATCACACCACGTTTAATGGAACATTTGCTAACTTGTCAATGCAGGAGGATCTGTATTACCAGCATACTTTCATACAAGATCTCCTTTGGGACACTCTAAACTACGTTACCGAGCCATTGATGAAGTTTTGGCCCTTCACGAAGCTAAGAGAGAGAGCTCTACGGAAAGCAATTAAGTACATGCGCTATGGATCAACCGAGAGCAGATACATTACCATAGGATGTGTAGAAAAGGTGAGAACAGAAGCGAATTTGAGAAATTTTTTCGAGGATTATTGGTGGAAAAGTCTAAGTCCTTTTTTTGTGTGTGTGTGTAGAGTTTGCAAATGATGTGTTGGTGGGCAGAGGACCCTAATTGTGAGGAGTTCAAGTATCATCTCGCTCGAGTCCCCGATTACTTATGGATTGCTGAAGATGGAATGACAATGCAGGTTGGTGTCGTGGCACACTGTAATTTTAGATTTTACACGTTAATCTTATGAATAATTCACCATCAATAAGATTTTTGCTAAGTTTCTGCCTTATATTGCAGAGTTTTGGTAGTCAGATATGGGATGCAACTCTTGCCACTCAAGCAATTCTGGCAAGTAATATGGAGGAGGAATATGGGGATAGTCTTAAGAAGGCACACTTCTACATAAAAGAATCACAGGTTTCTTCTTATGCATGAACAAAATGAGTTTCTAAACCAAATTGCTCTCAATATTTTTCATTCAATGATCTGTATTATATACAAATATTTGCAGTGTAAAGAAAATCCAGCAGGAGATTATACGGCTATGAACCGCTATTTTACAAAAGGATCATGGACTTTTTCAGATCAAGATCAGGGTTGGGTTGTCTCGGACTGCACAGCCGAAGCACTAAAGGTACTTAAGATTTGATTTTGACTTAGGTGCCAAGGGTACCAGTCTTGAAAACGGACTAGGTGCCAAGGATCTGTATTATAACCCCTTTCAAATACCACAGTGGCGAGAGTCTCCCATGCACCGGGCTGCCCCCTTTATTGTGTTATCTATCTTGAAATTGAAAACTCCGTTCTTCTCTGCAGTGTCTACTTGTACTGTCCCAAATGCCACAAGAAATTGCTGGAGAAAAAGCTGATGTTCAGCGACTATATGATGCTGTCAATGTCCTTCTTTACTTGCAAGTAAGAATACCAATGACCTGCAATTATGTCTATAGGCAGTCAAGCAGTCAGTGCCTAATGTGGTTTTTTCTTCTCATTCTCTTCATGTAGAGCCCTGAAAGTGGTGGTTTTGCTATTTGGGAACCTCCAGTTCCACTGCCTGCTTTACAGGTACCTCAATGACACATCAATTTACACATTCCTCTTCAAAATCCTAGTCTAAACAAAGCCCCGATTTCGAATGGAGAAAAATGTCGCTCTAAGTCGTAACATACTAACAGAACAATCTATTTATGTTATTTTTTGCCCAGGTGTTGAATCCTTCAGAAGTTTTTGCTGACATTGTCGTTGAAAAAGAGTAAGCTCTAATCATCCAACTTCTTCCGATTTTCAGTCAAAAAAAAACTTTGAAAGAGATAGTGACTAACAGTGCTCATTTGATGGTTTACATAGGCATCTTGAGAACACTGGTTGCATAATCCAAGCCCTACTAGCATTCAAACGTTTGTATCCAGGGCACCGGGAGAAGGAAATAGAAATCTCGGTGGCAAAAGCAGCACAATTCCTTGAAGATAAACAGTACCCTGATGGTTCATGGTGAGTCAATGTGTGTTGTAGTTGATTGAATAATGAGAATGCACAATAGGGAATTTGCTCTAACTTGAAACAAACTCGACAGGTATGGTTATTGGGGAATTTGCTTCCTCTATGGCACCTGTTTTGTGCTTGGAGGGCTCGTTGCTGTCGGGAAGACATATGATAACTGCCCAGCAGTCCGTAAGGCTGTTCATTTTTATCTGTCAACACAAAATGAAGAGGGTGGCTGGGGAGAGAGCCTGGAGTCATGCCCAAGCATGGTAACTATCCTATCGAACTCTCAATTATAATCAATGTTGGAAACATGCAAATCAAACCTTTAGTGTTTGATTGATAAGCAAAAAAGCCAATACTCAAGAAAAAAGTTTGCGGTATAGAAAAACACAACTATATTTATCCCTTCAACAAGCCTCCAAAACAGAAATAACTCACTCTATGACATGTCAAGGTAGTCCAGACAGTAAGACTTACTATCTTGGGACTAACTCCTAAACAGGTTAGCCCAATGAACGTGTTTTGTGGATCATTGTGTGCCTGTGAAGCTGCGGTCTAGGCCTACGTTCAACGAGCATGTGGTTGAACTTGTGTTTGTGGGTCATTAAGCGCATCCGAAATTGGCATTGTAGCCAAAAGTCAAAGGGTCATGTGATTAGTACAATTTGCTACCTAAAAACTATTAAACTCAAAGCAAATACTAAAGACATAGAACAACATCACTACTCAAAATTTGTGTAAGGGATTACAGTATAATTCACTATTTCCATTATACCTTCCTAATATCTAATGTTTGTGTGAAACAGAAATACATACCGCTGGAAGGAAATCGAACAAATATAGCGCAAACAGCATGGGCTATGATGGGTCTTATGTACGCTGGACAGGTTGGTATCAATTTCATATTGAATGATTAAATTACACTTATCGAGCTCATACTGAAAAAAATATGTCCTGTGCACAAAACTCCCATTTATGTCTAGAAGAGATAGTGATGATAATCTTAAATCTATCTATTTGGGCAGACAAGCACTTGACTAATTGAGCTCATATTATAAAACAAAATCTATCTATCTCAATTCTTTGTGTTTCTCAGCGTAAATAACCATTTCCTTTCCCATTTTGCCTTATTAACTAGGCTGAGAGGGATCCAACACCTTTACATAGAGCAGCAAAGTTGTTGATTAATGCACAGATGGATGATGGAGATTTCCCTCAGCAGGTAAGCTCTAAACAAATTGACTTGTGAATGCAATGCGCTCTCCCAAAGAATTTTAGTGCAGTTTTCTGTTTAATTTTATTCTCACTATATTCCTATGAATTTATCCACACAGGAAATTCTTGGAGTCTACATGAAGAATTGTATGCTACATTACGCAGAGTATAGGAGCTATTTCCCGTTATGGGCGCTTGGTGAATACCGTAGGCGCCTTTGGTCACCTTCCCAGAATGTCTAAGTTCAAGTTCAAGATGTAAAATAATTAACCAAAAAATTCTTTTTTGTGCTTTCTTTGAGTATGTATCCTTCAGTTTTCAGCTTCATGTTGTTTTGGAATAAGAAGTCCAGTATTAAACAACAACAAAAGCCCATGAATATCACTGCGATTTATGAATAACTCACACTGAGTACAGTGAGCACACGAATAACTAAGATTACTCTAGATGTGTTGTTGCTCTGCTTTATCTTCTGATCATAGGCCTATTGAAGAAAACATTTGTTATTAGCCAAGTGGAATAGTTACCTTCTCTCTAGGTCTTGTGTGATCAATATACTCTGAAGCTGCTTCTGCAACTGGGCTTTTAGCTGGTAATTGGAAGCCACACTTCTATCCAAATTCTCCTTCTTGGCTAGAAGTTGAGATTTTCTCATCTCAGCTGCAGCTATCTCAGAATTACCAGAATATCTATTACTATGCTGAAGTTCCATGAAGCTTGACTTGACCTGAAAGATGGATCAAGCTAATATGAAATGTACAATATGCAGCAAAACAAAAAAAAAATAGCTTCTCATGGTTAGCAAATATCACAAAAGTTTTTCTAAAAATCAAAGGTATACCAGATATGTTATGTGGATGAGAGCAAGGGGACAGAGATTTGTAAGGGAACATTTAACTACATCTTAACTCTCCCTGTTACATCTGAAATTCTATTCAACACAAAAATTGTGATTGTTAGAAGGCAACCAAATTTTGCAACTCCCAATTTGAAAATGCATTTGTCAAAAGCCATCCAACAGCAGATCGTATTTTTTTTTGAAAATTGAATATAATGAAACCAATAACTTCGACTGCCATTCACATTCGAGGCTCACATGTTTAGTATTTTCCAGTTTTCTTCACTGTTGCTTTTGATTTTCAGTTGCTAAAAAACCTTGATTATATTACTCAGTGGAATCAACTATGAGGACAACCTGGCAAACTCAACTTAGCTCAGCCAACATGGTGCAAATCGACTAAACATAATCGGCACTAATTTTCTTCTTCATATGAGTAGTCAATCACTCCTCTAAGTTCATGTTTTTTGATTTTCCTCATCTTCACTAAGTTTGTGGTTTTTACATTCCCATTGCATTGTCAGAACTTTGGTCATAACCAACAATAAATGGTCTTTCATTTCCTCAACCCTTTCTTTTCCTCTTCTTGTTATGTGGAAGCTTAAAGACATGATATCAGATTAACATATTCGCGCAAGCGATGAAGCAGCCTTTAGCATTGTAAATTGGTATATTCATCTAGAAAGATTAAAGCAAACATATATGAGGAAAAACACAGAGAGGGCATAAATGGGATTAATGGCTGAAAATATTGTACATTGGCTATACATAATTCATCATTTTGGGCAAATTATACTTTAACCCCCTCAACTATGAAAAAAACGTTATTTCACTTTTACCCCTAAATTATGTAATTTTTTTTACTCTATCTTGATAAGTCAACAATTTCCATACAAAAAAATGATGAACATTTACAGTTGGAGCGGATAATCAAAGTAGTTTAGGGGCCGATGTAAAAAATTCAATAGTTGAAGCGAGAAAGAAAAAGTCATAGTTCAAGGGCTCAAAGTGTAATTTACCGTTAGCATTTCAAATGTCAAATAAGAACACATGAACTTCACTTTACGCCTAGAAAGATTTAAGAAATTTTACTTTGTATTATCAAAGATTAGATTTTTCATATTATACCCTGACATCGTTGTCAAATCACAATTTGTATCCTGAATTAGAATTCTAAATTTGAGAATCGTGAATCGTAATATTCGACACAAAATTTGAAAAAAAATAAAAAATAATAATACATATTTAAAATAGACAAAACATTGAATATTGAAACATTATTGCATTTTAAAAATAATCGATTGACATAATCAGGTCATCTAAATGGAAAGACGCTAGCCTTTTGGCTTCCTTTTCATCTTTTGCTTAACTATTTTCAAATTCAACAACTTGAAAAAAAAAATCATTCAAAAACCATGACTATTCAAGAACCAAAATAATGACACCCATGATAAATTAGGTTAGAAACATGAATGGGAAAAAAAAATTAAGAAAATTAATTGGGAGAAAACATACTGGCCATCATTTTGAAATAAAAAATTAGAACCTAAAAAATTACCTATGATAAAATTGAGATAAAAAATCAACTGATGATGCATGAGCGTTAGCCGTGACCTTTAGATGACATCAAAGAGAAAATGAGCAAAGAGGTTGAATTTTTATTACGGCGTGAGTTCCTCTGCAAATAAAACGGCGTCGTTTTACTGTTTAGCGGGCAAAGTAACATTATTTTGCTAAAAATTTAGGTTTTAAAAAAAAGTGATTGAATCGTATGATTCATGCAAAACGAATTGAATCATACGAATCGTACAATTAAGGTGCGATTCAACTCTAAAACGATTCTCATATAAGATATGAATTATTTTGTATCTGTATCGAACCAAATCGTACGAATTGAATCGCGAATCGTATGATTTTGATAATTATGTACCCTAAATATATTATGTGTTATAATGTGGCAATTCTGTTAGTTTCAAGGGGTATTTTTAACCGAATAACCAAAGGAAGCTAACAAAAGGGCTACATTATAACACTTTCAATACATTTTGCGTAAAACATGAAAAATTTAATCTTTACTGATGCAAAATGAAAAAAATTAAATCTTTTGGGGTGTAAAATGCAATTCCCCTCATCTATTTACCTCCTCCATGCGTTTTCTCAATTCGTCAACTCGAATTCGACATTCAACAGCAAAATTCTGAACTCGTTCCCCAAATTCTGCAATATCAGCACTCTTCGAATTATAATACTTTTCCTTCTCCTTCTCCAACTCCTCCAGCACCTCCACCTCACTCTTCAGAACCCTAGATAGGAACCAAATCATCAACCAATTCACTTCAATTTATCCAAATCTGTTATATACATGCCGAGTAATGGAAACAAACCTACACTGTTGTAGATAGTTGAGGTAATTGGAATCGAGGCGGTCGATCTCCGATTTGAGAGAAGATATAATGAAGTGTTGCAAAGCGATTTTGTGGTCGACCTGTAAGCAGCGTTGTTCAATGGATCTGATGTTGGTGAGCTTTGACGATAGGAGATGAGACTTGTTTATTAGAAGTTCTTTCTCAGCCTGCGCGTGTTAAAATTGAACTTGAAAAGGATTGGAATTTGTTAGAGGGGGAGAGAGAATGAAGGTAGGTGGCAGACCTGGAGGAGAGAGAGGCGTTGGTTTCTGCTTTGCTCCATTTGTTCCAACCTATCCCGGAACGCCGATGAGAGCACCATTGCCGATCACACACACAACACCCACCCACTCACCGAGCGAGAGAGAGAGAGAGATTTTCACACTGGTTTCGGAAATCTGGAGGGAATTATTGGAAGACAAAACCAAGCCCAATACGAGATGGCCCAATAAAGGATGGAGGCAAAAGCAAGCCCAATAAAGGATGGAGGCAACATCATTCAAAATCCAGTCCATTCAGGGCGGAGTCCGACAACTTTTTCCGTGGGTGCAACCTTTTTTATCGAACCATTATTTCTTTAAAAGAATATCAATTAAAGGTATAATCTTCATATGCGAGAAATATAACAAAAAATCAACCAAAAAAAAAATATTTTTTTATCAATAGCTGATTCAAAATTTAATTTCTTTAGTCAGACATAACTTAGTATGCATTATTTAAGTTGAATATATCAAAATAGTTTAGAAAATTTGAACAACTTTAAATAAACATAATTTAGAAAAATTAAATCTACCACAAGTCAATTAAAATCTAGGGTAAAAAAAAATTAACTAAATCAATCTTAGATATAAGAATAACTTAATCTATCACAATCAATTTACTCAATCTCAATCAATCGAAATGATTTAATCCAAAAAGTAATTCATAATACGTAAATTCTAAATATAACAATCCAATTATTAGAACAAATTACGTTTGACAATATCAATTCGAAAATAGCACAAGAGAGAGAGAGAGAGAGAGAGAGAGAGAGAGAGAGAGAGAGAGGAAAACTAATTTCATGACTACCCTTAAGATTAAAGCTGGTCAGTGGGTGCAATATCTAACAAATTTTAAAACTTCAAAATTTTCAAACTACACTCCAATATTTTTTTCAAATTTCAGCGGGGGCATCTGGCCCACTATAGATTTGCCGCTGAGTCCAATACTATTTTTTAAATTTTTTTTTTACTATTACTAGTACAACAGTTAGATAAGAGATTCGAATTAGTGATCTCTATTTTCTTGAGGTGGGATTAATTATTTCGGAACCATCTCGTATAGACTCATAGGTCTCAAGTTCAATAATAGATGGACGTAAAACCAAATCCAATATTAGATGTGATTAACTTACTTATTGTTTGGTAACATTTTTCTATATAATTTTTAAGCAAAAGGTCATTTTTCCCCCTAAAAAAAAAAGAATTTTTTATTCTTATTTACAAGAGGGATGTAAATGCCTCTTAATATATGCATGCATATAAGCATTACAATATATGTGATGAAGGTTTGAGAAAAGGAGTGAACTATAACTAGGAAAAGAAACAAAAAAAAAAAAAAAGCAAACAAAACAAAAAAGTAGAAGAATAAATCTATACTATATATTATATAAGTCAATTGAAAAAAAAAAATCCTCCTTAAATCCAACTGAATTCCAACATGTAAGCCATCACTTCCAAATTTTTCATAACTATTTTACATTTGAATTTCTTGTCATATTTATTAACTAATTTATATTTAAATTTTTAGCAAATTTCAATTTGTCACATTAATAAATAATTTTTTAGTAACGTTATGATCGAATGGGAGTCTGAGCAGGGATGGGGTCTAGGCGTAAGGGTGGTGATGAAATATATTGCATATTATATGTATCATACTCGATGAGCCTTTATATTACTTCTAAAACAATCTCATAGAAAGAAAAAAAGTTATCGTACCCGAGTCTAATCAAATCCTATACGATTTTCATTTTTGTTATGTTCCCATTAATTCGTATGAACTTATAAGCACAAGTTTCATTAAATAGTTGGTAGATACTAAAATCAAGAGACTTTCTTTATGGAAGATAGAGAATTTTGTTTCAAAATACAAATATTGCAACACAGCTCAATATGTCCCCAAAGGTAAGGTTGCACCAATAATCTAGTGAGGACTTGTTGCTACAAAATAAGTCTATCATATATTGATAATTAACCGAAAAATGCTGCTAAGTGAAAAACAAATGAATCTCCCTCGGATGATGAGAGTCCAAGTCATGTAGTCTATTTATTATTGATAAGTAGGTTGTTAGAATCATAAAGAAATTTTTAAAACTTTCAATTAAAGTTTTCGGTTACAAAGTTGAAGATTTATTTGGCTATTGATTTCATGTATTAAAAATATGTTTTTAATAGGTTGGCTGTTACAAATCACAATGGTTATATAAGCATGTTATTAGAGGTCACTCTCTATAGTTCTTACTTTCAACTTGTAGTTCATTTCTTGTTAAACTTTGTCTACAATTATATTACTACAAGTTTTTTTTGGTTTTGGGCAACGTACGATTCGAGTCAGGTTCATCATTTCTTTCCAGTAGGTATGACCATTTAGAAAGTGCTGCTGCGAGCGTTTGGGTTGGATCTTGGAGTTACTGGTGTTCGTCAGTACCTTCACGCGAGGAGGTTCAGCTGTTTTAGAACAGTAATTACATGTCTCTCAAACTCGCAGGCCAACTCTTTCTAATTTATAATATATACTTTATTCTATTGTAAATTGATTGTTATTTTATATTTATATGTATATTCTTATTAGTTTGTGATTTGGATATTAATTTATTAATTAAAATTATGTATAATCATGTTAATTTTCCCAACATAGGTTACATGATAAATCAACTCTAAGCAAAAGTTAATCCATTACATGCACTCCGAGGGAACACTAATAAGAGATAATAACGTGAGGATAACTACGAAACCTATGAAACACTCCAACACCCTCATTCAACTTGGACTTTGGATGATTATAAACTACCGTGATGACGGGGGTTTGGTAAAAGTATCGACCACGTAATCCATAGTAGAAATATGTTGAACTTCAAGCTCTGAACAACTTGCCACAAATAAAATGGTAATCTACCTCTATATGATTAATGATAATAATCATTAATTTTTGTAAAGTGTTACATATGTATTTATTGAAAAACGAAAAATCATTAATAAAGGAAAAAGATCACCCCCTAATTGTAGGTCCATAAGCCTCATTTGATGCCATTTTTGTGGCTATGATATATTGATTTTGAGATAAATTGTCATATCATTTTTGCACAATAGGGTATTCATGCATCCCAAAAGTTGGGGGTGGTTGCACCAGCCAAGTGGACTTACAGTCATATCCTACAATTAAAGGTAATAACTGTAAACAAACTTCTACGACAAATAGGTTTTGGCTTTATAAAAGCATCTTCCTCAAATTATGTCAATTAAAGGTAAATCAAAATGTAATGAAGACTAATCATTACCCCTAAACATTGTGGGATGCTACTTGACCCATTAATCCATTTCGAATTAAACTTGTGGACCTAAGAAAATGGTCCCCACTAGTTAATTAAAAACAACATGGAGAATTCTGACAAATTAGATCACTTTCAATATAATTTCTCTTGGTTTTTTTTTAGAGCAATGCTATCTGGACCTTTTTCACTGGCCTTATTTTGTTGAATTTATCATTTTCCGTTATTAGATTCAAAGTAGACTCCACTATTAGTTGAGACTCACTATCAATTCAATAAGATACAAAATAACATTTCTCTTTTGTTTTTTTAGTGATATATCACACACCGTGTATTAATTGTTAAGGTTAATTGTACTGGAGGTTCTCAAATTATAGAGTTTGTCTCATTTTGGTTCTCAATATTTCAATTGTATCATTTTGATCTTTCAAGTATTAAATATGTTTTTACGTAGTCCCTCAAGTGAATAACATCCAAATTACGAGCAGTTTTTATCATAAACTTATTCCATGATACCTAAATATGGACAAAAAATAATTTGAAAAACTCTTAACTAAAATCTGGGTAGCTCTTGACAGAAAATGTGTAATATGGGTAGCTTTCAACTAAAATTTGAATAGTTTATGATAAAAATTGTGTAATTTAGGTAACTCTTTGACGAAAATTTGGGTAGAAATTTAGTCAAGAGTTATCCAAATTATTTTTTTACTTATATTTAGGTATTACGTGACAAGTTTATAATAAAAAAAATATTTAACAATCTAGATCATATTTGCTTGAAAAACCACATAAAAATATATATTCGATAATTTAGGGACTAAAATGATACAATTGAAATTTTTGAAACTAAAATGAGACAAATTTCATACTTTGGGGACTTCCAGTGCAATTAACCCTAATGATTAATATTACTTAAATTATAGTGAATTGCACTTAAATTTATGGTGAATGATCGATAATTAAGAAAAAATTAAAAATATATTAGAGATATTTAAATAGGAAGTCTAACTTTTTAGTTAATGTGCAGAATAAATGGCTTTTTCTTACTTTTAACATTAGATATAACATGGTTGAATGTACCACAACCATGCATTTGGATATAGAAATTTTCTATTTGAACATATAAAGTCAGTTGAGAAGAAAGCATTCTAGATAAGGGTTGTCATGCACCAATATCATTTTTCAAGCATAACTTACCAAGAGAACTCCTTTGCCCTTGGTTTTTTTACCCCCTGTTTTTTTTAGAGTGGATCTCGAAAGATATTAAAAGTTCTTTGTACATCTATTACTATCTTTGTATTTATGAGATCGACTATTGAATTGAATTTTGTTTACTCGCTTACAATTGAGTATTTATTTATCTCTTTTTTATGCTTTAGCGTTTGAAATCATCCACCTAATATATTCATACGATTGAATATTGAATTTAATATTTTCAACTGGCAATTAGTTTTTTTTTTTTGGTCAAGCCACAGGAGAGAGGAATAACGAGGTTCAAACCCACAACTTTAAAGTCCAACAGGGAGACGATGGTCATTAGATCAACCGCTAACTTCATTATACGTTAATTGAAACCTTTATTTTTCCATAGAAGTAGGCTATTTAATTACAAAGTTGATAATTAATATATTTTACAGCCTACTAACTACTAGAGAAACATGCCCTATAAAAAAGCAAGGCGGTGGTTGCTTTGAAAAACATACATCATACAAGTGCAATTATCCATTCTCCAGACGCTCACGTTCAGCATTCTTCCTCTTCCACCAACTTTAAATACTTCTTCCTAGAAAAAACTTTAACTACTTCTTCCCACATATTTCCTAATTTTCTATTATTACATTTGCATCCTACAACTTTTATAGTATTTTATTCGTCTACAACTCGATTGAAATCAGGTTTATCCCTACCTCCCAGTCATAGATAAAATTATTTAAAAATATATAGAAGGGAATCTGAACCCTAGTAAAAAATATGAAGTTTTTTTTTCCATTTCAAACTCATTAACAAGTTTCGATGCATATCTTTTCATTCATCTTTATAAACAACATCCATAAGAGAGAAAGAGAGAGGGAGAGGGAGAGGGAGAGATGCATATTCTAGCTATTTTTAAAATATTATATCCGGTATCCGAGAGTCCTATTTATAGGGATGCGTAGCAAAAGTACCCAATAGACCATCTTATTATCTCAATTTGAAAAAAGTCACTGTAATTCCCAAACTCAACCCAGACACATTAGCATTTACCAATGGAGATGCAAACGAGTTATAAATTTAAATATTTTGAATTCAAAATTTTGTAACTCTTTTTGGGGTCGAAGAACACTCTTAACCGCAATTCTAAAAAAAATCGTATCTGTGAAATTGACATTTACTTTTCTATGTTCACATTCATTTTTTGGGATTCCAAATTAAGGATATTCACATAGTCTTTTCATATTGGGGGTTGGCAAGTTTTTTTCTTTTTTGGTCCCAAAAGTCGGCAAGCTGATTATGTTCTTTTTTACATGTAAACAAAGCATATATACACTATTATAATCTGATTTAATCCCAAAAAAAAAACTGAACAACACTTGCATAGTTCAAGTCTAAATCATAGAGCTTGCTTCACATGTATAAGCTTTGAACAATAACAAAAATAATTACAGTAATGCTATTAACTGAATTGAATTTGCTGATCAAATTTATAGTTACCATCGAATTAACAATGCTTGTTCACACTAGATGTGTTTCACTCAGTGAGAAACATAGGATACAATGAAAGGCTTAAGATGGGATGCCGTAAAAGATGTAACTAGGGGTACAAATTCACCTAATCAAATCAAGTATCAAAATGCTCAGCCCCGACTCGTTCATTTATGAAAAGAATGGCTTGGGCTTACTTGTTTCAACTAAGCTCAAGCTTAATGTTCGAGCTTAAGTTCGAAATCAGACTCTTGTCGTTCAAGATCAAGTTTGGCACGTTTAGAACGAATAGTAATCATGTATAAGTGTGATTATAAACACACAGATTTTAAAGCATTAAAATCACATCCATATGTCATTGATTCATCTTGATTAATAGAAAAATATCATTGATCCATATAGAACGTAAAGATTGGCTAGCTCCAAGAAAACTGAAAAAAATAAAAGCATGACTCATAACAAAATTAATACGTTAGTGTTTATGAGCCTAGTTGAGTTCAACGAGTCATTGCTTAGGCTCGGTTCATTTATTAAATAAGTTTTAAAATGGAACCCGAACTTGACTCATTTTGGAATGAACAAACATGAATGATATAGCTATTAAATCAATTCGAAACTATTCATCACCAACTCAGTTTGTTTTCCATCCATATATGCAACTCTCCCTCCTGCCTACATATGCACATGGTGGTAAGTGTAAATGGTGTCTCCAGTTGATTTATTCCTCTATGATACGTGATTTGGTGGCGAAAAGCGACTAAAACGAGATACACCAAACAATCTATGCAGTACTAGACATGTTTTCGGTAGAGTGTTCAAAAGAAAACTAACCATGTTACATTCTCTCTCTCTCTCTCTCTAAATTCTTTAAACATGGGTCCATCAATATTGTTGGGCTTCATGTGCACCACAATGGCTGATGCTAGAAAGATAACCACCCCACACCAAGATTACACACACACACAGAGATGAGCTTACATGCTCCCCACCTCTAGAGAGAGAAAATCTAAAGCGTCTTTCAGAAAAGGATGGCAATAACCAATGCTGACGGTTGTGGACAGAGAATAAAGTTGAACCGTCCATTGTCCGTTTGAAGATAAAAAAAAGTACCGAACAAAGCTTAACCTTTTACACTTTGGTTCTCATTATCTCTAATTTTTATATCAAACTTTATACTATTTGTCATCTATATATACATGTGTGTGTGTGTGTGTGAGAGAGAGAGATGTGTGAGAAATGTTTTTATATGTAGGAACAGTTATGGAGTCCACGTCCAAAAGTAGAGAACTTTCTTTGCAACGAATGAGAATACAGCCTTACAAGACTGTTCTCATTGATTTCTGCATAGTAAGTACAAGAACATTACGTACATGTTTTCTAAGTCTAGAGAGAGAAAAAAAGCAAATAGGGAAATAAATTTCATCTTCTTAACAATGAGAGCATAATACATTGATTCTTCCACATTAAACATGCTCCGCCAGTGTACTGACTACAGGCCTTGATATATTGCCTGGTACAATTCCAATTTGGCTCCATGAATGAAATTGTATCATCTAAATGATGGCAAATGGGAGTAAGAGTCATTCCAATACACTTTTTCTCAAGGTTTTTTTTTTTTGGGTTCAACTGACTTTCAACGAAGATCATCTATCTAAAATTCGTGTATGACCCACTTTATATATGTAGATCCTTCACCGATATAGGATGGGTGACTCAATATGAAGAGAATTTTTTAAAAAAAGACATTGAATGAGATCTCGATCATAGCAGATGACCGTGGAAGGAAGGATTGTGACACACTTTTCAATATAGAGGAAGTTATTTGGTCGTTGAACTAAATGGGGGTAACTTTTTTGGTTAAAGCATACCTGAAACTTCGCTTGTGCAAAGGAGTCTTTAGTTTTCATGTTTCTGATGTGCCAAAACCCAAAAGTAGCACCACCATTTCTTCTGCCAAAATGTGCATGGTATTTACATAAACCCCCCTTTTGCTTAAAATGGTCTTCTCATAAAAAGTTGGAAGGCTAGCAAATATAGAAACATCCCGTACACCAAACTTTGATATCCCATCTTTGCTTCCTGTTTTACATCAGGTGCCACAGAACCAAGAAAACAGGAAAAAAAATTTTAAATATGATAAAATATGAGTATCACAATAGATAAACAAGATTTATGTAACCGACACCAAATATTTGAGATTTAAGCTTTTTTAAATTGCTATATATATATGCGCATACACCTAAACAAATATATACACCTCCAAATGAATTGCAAAAACTAAATGCATCTCATAATACAAGGTTTTTTATTGACTGGTACAATATGGTTTCATTGATTAAAATACATATACAATATAGTTTAAGACATGCCTAACAATTCTTAAACTCTCAAAAGATACTCCGTATACACACAACCTAAGAAAGAATTTCAATCGAGAAGTGAAAAACCTATGGATTTACCTTGGTGGCAGAGGAGGTGAGAGAAATAGAGGCTGATGAGGTTGAAGATGTAGTGGACAAAGCAGAGAGCCCAACATTGTATACCATGGTTTCATCAGGTTGATACAGACCATAGTTCCTCTCTGAAGTTGGTCCAGGCTTCATGTCCTCATTGAACAATGCAAACAAATAAACTTCTAATCTCATTCTTGGCCTCAAAGGAGTCCCTTCATTTCCCAATTGTCTTCTCAACAAATTCCTATTGTATAGTGCTGCATTCTCCATTGTTGCACCAACCTCATCAGAGTCACCTTTCGATGGCCACCCAGTCTCGGAAACCCTGACTTCTAACCCTCCAAAACCCATTCTAGCAGCTGCAAATATGACTGAATCTACTTGAGCATATAACATGTTGTCATAGTGTAATTTGGTGTAAGGGTCAACCATTCCTGAATTAGGGTTGAAGAGTAAATAGTCTAGAGGAATCCCAGTTGGGTCATCTTTGTAAGCAAAATATGGGTATGCATTGATCCAAAAAGGTGCTTTAGTACTTGCCAAGAACTGTAAAAACTGTGGCATAATTCCGGCAAGCTCGGTTCGGAAACTTCCGGCCGACGGAGGGTATGACTGACCAAGCACTGCTAAAGAACTAGGGGTTGAAACCTGAATGAATTGATCTAGTCCTAATCGAACCAAGGCTGCATGAATGCTGACCAAGGCAGGTACAAGATTGGACATTAAGGTCATGTCCTCGCTGGTGAAAACCTCATTTCCGACCAGAATTCCGGTGATTCTTGTGGCCGGAAAATATGGCCTTATGTGGGTGCTTACCCATTGAAGGGCTCCTTGTTGGTCCATTAAAGTACCAACCATGTCATTTTCAACTGTCACTATTAATTCGATGTTAGAGTTAGCAAATGCTGTCAAAACTTGAGGATTCGTGTCATAAATCCTTGTTTTTGTTATTTTCAGTGACTGTAAAAGATCAATCACTCTCTCCGGTAGAGGCAAATTATTGCCAACTTGGCCATAGTTGATGCCAAGCGATTCAACTTCTTGTAGAAATCCAAAACCTTCCAAACACAACAACAAAATATTCAATCATGTTAAAACAAACGCATTATGAAGATGAATTCAATTGCTAAACAGGTTAAGAACACTTAGAAAGACAAAGAGGATACCTGAGAAGGAGAGAAAGCATACAAGAAGAATATGTAGCACGGTAATCATGCTAAAAAATGTTGACATGAGAGAGAGAGAGAGAGAGAGAGAGAGGAGAATCTGGATCTTAACTAAAGAGAGAGGGGGAAGAGAGAAAGATGGCCAAGAGGGGTATATATATGTGTGTGTGTTTATGTATATGTTGGGCATACCTTTCTTTGCTTGTTTGAATTTTTGGTTTTTGAGGTAAGAAACTATAGGTTATCTTGCCTTGTCCATGTAGGTTTTGGCTCTTACCTCTTTAAGTACTTGTTATGAATGACTTTGTCTTCTCATCTTCTTCCTCTCTCATGGCTTCTTTTGGTCTTACGAGTGTCGTTTCGAAGACTCCAAATCTTAAGTCCACATGACAAGCATACCCCCGACACTTTCTTCACTCGAAAGAAAGAGCAATCCCATCGGAAATTGTTGGGCAAATTTTGAGATAATGATAGTCAAATCAAAAAGAAATGCTGATGTAGGATTTGTTAATAATTAGTGTAAAAATTATTTATTTAATCTATTGCACTGTTTTAAGAATCTAGAGTGGTAATTTATGACATAACAAATAATTATAACATGAATTCGATAGAAAATTAGGGAATAAGTGAGAGAGTTTTAACTAATTTTTTAACACGAACTCACAAATGACACAACTTGTTAATACAAACGATAAATATATCAGATTAATTTTAAATACGAAAATCCGAATTTCTATGAGTTATATATGGTTTGTTAATAATTAGTGTAAAAGTTGTCAATCTAATCTATGGCTCTGTTCTAAGCTTCTATTAAAAAGGAATGGAGAGTGGGTGATGTATCATGCGTTGGATTGCCTTTTTTACTCCTCAAGTTCATTGATTTTCACCCGGTCCTCTTGGTTGTCTTTCTTTCTGGTGTCTCCCTTTAGTTATCTTATTGTTTCCACCGTGTGCGTGGGTACACGGCGTAGGGTGGCGTGGGGGGTGGCGGGGTGGGTGGGGGGCGGCATATTAAATTTATATCATGTAAAACAGTTTTATGCCTCATGTTCAATGATGGGTGAAATATTGATATAATAATAAATAAATAGTTATTCAATTTTTTTTCTAGTCAGAATAATATATACAGTTTAATAATTAGATCTGTTAAAAAAAGTTTAATAATTATTTTTTTATTATAATAATAAAAAAATTATTAAAAGGACTAAACCAATCATGTCAGGTAATCCGTCGTGTACGGATTGAATATTTTTTTATACGAATCTCTTTAAAGTCGATATAAATTCGTTTAACCCGATATAATTGACATTCCTAATTACGTCCTAATGACCTAAAGAAAATAATCGTTGATTGCTGCAAGACAAACCAAAATAATCTCCTCCATTCCATCATGAAAACCAAATTTTTTGAGATTAAATCTTCTAAACTCATGCCGACCTCTATCCAATCCTTTCCAAAGTCAATATTGTTCGAACCGAAAATCATGCGATTTAGTACGAGAATCCAAATTTCTTGCAATAATGGTGGAAGGAATTTGAGTTTTCCTTTCCTTATCCGCATCTAATACCAGTGATGAAATTGTTTCCTTCTTTACTGTGTCATAACAGCCTGCACCACCATGATTTGTATTAACTAATACTAGAGATAACTTGTGTTTGAAAGTACGGTACAACGTAAATGGTTTTGAGAGAGATGTCGATAGCCGTTAAATGAATCTATTTGAAACCGTCGGATAAATTTATTGAAATTTGTTCTATTTTATGCATTTGTCCATGTGTAATGGGCAGGTAAATCTCTTCTCCTCCCAATCTCCCTGTACCCCCTTTATTTTCTTTCACCCATTATTTTATAAGTTGAAAAATAAATTTTAAGAATTATTGAATTTCAAAATTTGATTTTTTAAGTGGCTGTTAGAGAGAGTTTGTGGGTAGTTATTGAAGGCATTTAATAAAATATGATTAGAGGGTGAAAATTTAACAATCTAAAAGTCTAAAAAGTTATAAAAGTGAAAGGACAACCTTCTCAAATCCTCTCGCTAAGAAAATGATTGTTTTATAAGTATAGATGCCTTTGAAATCACAAAAAAGTCGAATAATTTGTCATTATGTGTGTGAACTCAATTGATTACACTGACTGCAATTTATTGTGTATATGTATGCAAATATCAACTCAAATAGATGGTTTTAGGTGTTTAAATTATGACAATTTTTTTTTCTAATCGGTTCTTACTTTTTTTAAATTGGGCTTTTTTTTTGAGTTAAATAGTTCCTTCAGACACAGATATTAGCAAGTATTCAATACGTCTTTCTTGCTATAACATCAATGATAAACATCGTCGCGTTTACATCGGGACTCGGTGGCTGATTACTATGATAATCTAGATAGATTCTTTCCCGAGAAAAATAACGGGTGCAATTAGGGGTTTCATGATTCCACAAATGATGACCTATTGGGTTGGTCTTTAGACGTTCTCTTTTATCACCGTTCTTTTTTTCCGAGCAAAAAAAGAAATAGGTACCATTATAAAATAAAATTATAAATTAAACTAGTTGCGCAATGGCATAAATATTTTCAACCAAGGGGGATTGAGGTTGATAACCAAAAAGTGAAAAAGAAAAAAGGAACTCTTACAGAATAGGTTAAAGATGAATTCGGCATGAACTGAGACGGAGATAGACAAGTTTTCTGAGTAAATATGGGGTGCATCGGTGCTAACACACTATCATTGAAATTTAGTATCATCGATTAATAATAAAATAAAAAAGAGGATTAATGAACCTCACTCGTTCAACATAGTATATATTAAATGAGATGTTTATTGGTAGTTACTAAAATAGTTTAACCCACGAATTTCACACAGCTTTTAATTATTGGTTGGTGATGACGTGATGTCACCATTACATTGCATATTTTCTTCAATTCCTCAATGAAAAAAAAAGGCAAAGTAGTCGTTTTTAAAAGTTTTAGTGGAAGTGGATTGGATCAAAATATCTAGCAAAGAGACTTTAAATCCTTCAGTGCACCTTTACAACCTTCCTTCACTTAATCTCAAGTTTGCATAGATGATTTTGTTTGTTGGGGGGGGGGGGGGGGGGGGGTGTGGTTCTCCATGGCAACAGTCCATTCAAGGGTATTATTGAGATACTTTCCCCTATAATTTTTTTTTTTTGTTCAATAGTTGGGATGTCTGGACCATTTTACACGCATTTCATCCACGTCAAGACTAGGGTATTCATGAGAGATAATTTTCTCATAATTGAACCCTAAATAATTGATAAGATTTGAACTCAAGACTTCTAAATTTACGGTTTATCTTTGTTACCATTTAAGGAGTTTCTATAAATCTCCATAATATACCATTTTGGGCTTTGGGTTAGTGTAAAAGCCCCCCACTCAGACTCTATTTGCATAGTCACTCTAACATGTTGCAATAATTACATTTTCAATCCTTATCACCCATTCTTTGAATTCTAAATCCATCTTTGAATGATCAAAATTGTTGTAGCATAGTAGCATATATAATTCATGGCATGACATCTTGATGGAGGGAGAGTGGTTTAAAACTCATCCTTAGTAATGTTGATCCTGAAAATTGTTTGTCAATTTGGGAGACTCTTTGTATCTGGCACAAAGTTCTAAAGGTAAAGAGGTCAATGTCGGGATGCTAGCTACGACTCTCGGATGCTCAAGTCAGATTTTATGAGCAATAGGACAACACTAAGACCTGGACGTTGCTTTTGTACGGTTTGTGTTTAGATAAATGTTGTGAACTTACTCACAAACCTCGACTCTTTTTAATAGACAAGAAGACGAAAATAGAATTGATTGCTTATTCACTATTGTGGTGAGTCTTCCTTAATTGACTCTCCACAGGTAACTAATGTTTCTAATGGATCTAAGTCGCAATAAGGACCTCCATAGTTTTGGGTTTGAACTCTTCATTTTGGATCCGCTTTAGTTTAGGTACAAACACATTAGGTTTTCTGTGCTATAATCTGAATTGAGCTCCGAGCACAAAACCCAAGTCAAGCAGTAGAAACAGATGAGTGAAAAGAATCTTTTTCTTTTTTTGGGCGAATTTTATTTTGTACATTAAAAGATTTTAAATTTTTCACTTTATACCCTTAAATATTAATTTTTTTATATTATACCCTCAATATATCAAAAGTATTGTAATATGACCCTTCTGTTATCTTTTCATTAATTTTTTCGTCACTGTTAATGAGTTGGTTTTTTACAAAAAAAATAACGAAAGCTAACAAAATGGTCGCTTTACAATACTTTTAATATATTGGGAGTGTAATGTAAAAAATTTAATCTTTGAGGGTACAAAGTAAAAAAATTAAAATTTTTCAGGGTATAAAGTGTGAAAAACCTTTTTTTTTTCTTTCTTTCTTTCTTTTCTCTTTGTAGTGGAAAATAATTTGATTAATGGGGGAAAATAAATAGTAAATTAAAAGAGAGGGCACCACCCAAAACAAATATATATATATATATATATATATATATATATATATATATATATATATATATATATATAAATATAATCCAATCCCATAGTGGGAGTGTAATAATAGAAGAATTAATTAACATAATATAAAGGGAGTGATTTTGGTCATCATAGAATAAAGTTATGAGACCACTTTTGACAAAGGAGACAAACAAGGCATTGTATAAAAATTCAAACTTGTTTTTTGCATTTGGGGGTGGGGAATTCGAAGATGGTGTCGTGTTTGGTAAGTGGATAAGGGATGGAATACGTGGGAATGATGAGACGCAGGTGTCCTTATCTCAAACCTCCTTTTGTGTTCTTTCTTTTTGCTTGCTGATGATGCAAATAATCACATTGTAAACTTTGGTACTGAAAATCTCGTTATGGACCCATTTGATACATAATGTTGGGGTAGTCAAATAGTGTTTCTATTAGTACACATTCTGGAAATAAGAGGGATTTTTGTGTCGCTGTGGGTTAAGTGTAATGGTAATTAGTTACGTGGTTGTGGATTCGAATCTAACAACAAACACGGTATAAAAATATTCTCAAAGATTTTGTTTGTATGTAGTCAATGGAATTTTCAATACGTTGCTAAAAATAAGTGGCTATTGTGATTCATAGTGGTGAAAGTATAGTACTACTAAATTGTTAGGTTATATACTCGGATCTAACGACAAATATTTTTGTGACAACATTGTTCAAGATTATGTCTAGCTTTATATACAAACAATCATTTTTTTTTTTGGTGAGGAGGGGGCTCCCTCTTTATTCTCTCAATTTTTAGAATTTTGATTTATTTTATTACATTCACTCCAATCACATTATATCACGTGGCATAACCATACATCTACTAACAAATAATTCCTCATTTCAAATCTTTTGAAAAATTGCGTTCAATCACCCCTGAACTTTCATAAATGGTGGGGTGGGAGAGGGGTGAAGGA